TTATAAAGGTTAGACATTGTTAAACCAATCCTTGTGCATTCTCTTATTTTACAAAGGTACCTCCTCTGGAGTAGACTTGCACACTTACCAGAGACCTTCAACCAAAATTGACTCCCAACAATTTAATTAAAATTTGTATTTGGAACACAGAAACATAAAAACTTTTTAAAATATTTTGAAGTGCTGGGGATGGAACCCTGGATCTTATGCATGCTAAGCAAGCACTTTACCACTGAACTATATCCCCATTCATCATAAATATTTTACATATTGATGGGATAATGTGATATTTTCACAAACATGTACATTTTGTAATGTTTAAGTCAAACATATCTACCTCCTTTTCAAAAATGAAAGACAGGAAGGTAAAAACAGGTCCTGTCTGGGGGTTGGCACCAGTGGGAGGGGGAGGATATAAGGAAAGGGTGTAGGCTGGTAAATATTGTGGAAATATTATGTACTTGTATATGAAAATGGAAAAAGGAGAACTGTTGAAACTACTCTAAGAATGGGGGAGAGGGGTAAAGGAGAATGATTAAGGGAGTTAATTTAACTAAGAGAATTCTAAATGTCTTTTGTAAATGTCACAATATACCCCTAGTACAATGATATTATAAAAATAAAATAAAAAACCAAATGTATATACCTCCTAAAACATTTATCATTTCTCTTTTAATTTAATTTTACATTTTATTCTCCTTAGATTTGGAGAAAGGAAGGAGTCACCAGTTATAGAATTGAACTATTCTGTTGTCTTTCAGATAGGCTTGGGAGCCAATTTCTAATTGCCTTTATTGAGGATCAGTATTAGAATCATAACAGGCTGACAACTGCTGCTAGAGACTGGGGGCTCCTAAGAAAATGGCAAAGAGCAGGTATAAAATTTCCCATGGAGGGGTCAAGTTCCAGGGCTTTCATCTGGAACTGAGGATCCTTCATAAAAGATCACAGGTAGAGAGGCCCACAACAGCTCCTCAAAGGGAAGGGGGATGCTACAATCCTGGGGCTGGTACCTGGCGGATGGGAGGTCAGTGGCATCTTCACAGAGAGGACCTGAAAGGTCATTGTTCTTCCATATATATCCCAGGAAACTGTGTAGTGCCTCTCCATAAGGTCAGGGAAGGGTTCACTCTTTGATCTCTCATTGGCTTCATGAATAGCTTAGTACAAGTCTTCCATATATTAGCATGTGCAAACATTGTTCAACTCTTCTTTATGCCCCTCTGATTGAGGCACTGGGAAATTGCCCTTGATACTACACATTTCTTCTTCATTCAAGAAATCCCCCCTCCCCATTTTTTTTCAGTACTGGGGTTTGAATTCAGGGCTTCACACTTGCTAATCAGGCACTCTTACCACTTGGGCCACTCCACCAAGCCTCCCCTACTCTCTTTGTTTTTTTTTTTTTTTTTTTTTGCAATATTGGGGTTTAAATTCATGGCTTTGTGCTTGCTAGGCAGGTGCTCTACCATTTGATCCAACCCACCCACCCCCCCTTTTTTGCTTTAGTAATTTTTCAGGTAGGGTCCCATGTTTTTCCCTGAGCCACTCTAAGACCATGATTCTCCTATGTATGGCCTCCTGCATAGCTGTGATTACAGGAGTGCACACTTTTGTTTGGCTGGCGGATCTCACTACCTTTTTTCACCTGGGTTGGCCTCAAATCACAATCATCTCTGTTTTTTGTTTTTGTTTACTTGGTGGTACTGGGGTTTGAACTCAGGGCTTCACACTTGCAAAGCAGGTGCTCAACAGTTTGAGCCACACCTCCACCACGATCTTCTCCATCTCTGCCTCCCAGATAGCTGGGATTACGGGCATGAGACACTATGCTGAGGATGAAATTTCCATTGTTGCAGAAAACTCTGGGCAATTATCTGCTTGTTGTACCTATTGCTAATTTTTCCTCAGTTCCTCCCTTTCATAAAAACTATGAGGAGACACTTCCAGATATTGACTGTAGAGTCCACTTATTTCCCATGTCAACATGCAACTCCTTGCAGACGTATGGTCATTTTACAAAACAAAAAACCCGCAAAAAACAACTGGGTCAATGGTCAGATGAAATGCCACCTTTATTCATGACCTAAGTCCACAAAGTATTTCAAAGAGCATGCTATTCTGCATAGATCCCTAAGATCTCAAACCTCAATTTTGTTTACTGGCAGTATGGCTCTGACCAGGTCACCCATGCTACATCCTGCCCATCCATACAACTAACAGTATTTCATTGGCTATCCCAATCACTGATCCCTGGTTTCAAAACATTACCAATTTGCTTACCAACCAGCGGATCTTTAAACTCCAATAATAATAGACCTGCACAATTATGAATACCTTCCTGTTATCTTTTCTTGGTGGATACAAAAATAACTTCAGGGCACGAGAGGCATGGCTTAAAGTGGTAAAGTGCCTGCCTAGCAAGTGCAAGGCCCTGAGTTCAGACATCAGTACCACAAAAAAAGAAAGAAAGAAAAAGATAAAGAAAAAAAATCAGCCTGGTGCTGGTGGCTCAAACCTGCAGTGGAGGCAGAGATCAGGAGGATCAAGGTTCGAAGCCAGCTTGAGAAAATAGTTTGTGAGATCCTATCTCAAAAATATGCAACACAAAAATGGGCTGGTGGGGTGGCTCAAGTAGCAGAGTACCTGCCTAGCAAGCATAGGGCTCTGAATTCGAACTCCAGTACCACCAAAAAAATATCATCTTTGGGTTTATGAATGCCTGTACTCATTACATTTTGGAGGACAGTATGTTTTAGGATACCTTAACTACACCTTTCACTACCTTCCAATTCATTTTCCAAACTTCTTCAACATCGTAGTCTCAAAAGAAGAGTCTTATGGATAATAGAAGACTATACAGATGAAAACCCTTCTGAAGGTGAGGATAATAGTGGTAGACATTCTTAGGGATGTGACTCACCTGGAGGAGTTAACTCCAACAGCAGGGGAGAACATACAGAATGCTGGGATTGTGGCTAGGAATTTACTCTGTCTGGAATAAATACATGATTAGAAATCTCTCTTGAACCATTAGTAAAATTGCTAGTTCTACAGCCAGAGCTATTCAGGCCAACTACAGAACTCTTGACTTTTTAGCTTATGTAGTTCTTGATAAGTGCATAGCCTTTGTGCTATGATCACACACTCTTCAGGTACAGTACTTCTTACTGTACCTGAATGAATACTTCTTCCCAGGTCAAGCTTGAAACTACTAGTTTATTTGAGCTTGCCTTATCTATAACAGATCATTCCAGCTTTTCTAGATTTTCCTGCTTGTTTAAGATTTCTGACATCTTCAGCTGCTCACCCTGGGAAATGGAGCCATTTTCACATCTGGATTGTACGATTTTCTTGTGACAATACCCTAATTTATATGTTTTGTCCTTTAAAAATAATCTTTTGCTGGCCTCTAGGCCACCTGGCCAGTGCCCACTACTTTTTCTTTTGCACCACCTATTCTTTTCTTTCAATAAAGCTTTGCTATTGCTTTGCAAAAACCAATCTTTCCTCTCTTTTGATATATAAGAACTGCAGGGTAAATGAAAATTAGGGTTGTCAACAATTGGACATGATTCAGGAATTTACTGCATGACTGAGTCCCCATACACTTCAGTGATCCCCTATTAACATCTAAAATTTACCCCTAGCCTCATTAACTAAAGCTTTCTCTTTCCCTCCTATATGGGACAAGGCTACCTAGGAGTGAGCATTCTGTTGACTATCAGTGCTTCAGTTGATCATTAATACGTCCCAGAGAAAGAGTGATCAAAAGAGGGAACTAGAAAGGATCTGAAATGTCACAAAAATTTGGTCTGGATGGAGGTATGGCTCAAGTGGTAGAGCACCTGCCTAGCATGCACAATACCCTGAGTTCAAAAACTAGTTTCACCAACCAAACAAAAAACTTGGTCATAAAGTCCTTTAGTGCAGGGACAACATGAGGCATGAGACTGCAGTCAACTAGGACATTCTGATTTAACATAGCAGGTTTTTGCAGCCATTCTAACATAGTAAAGATAATAACCCTAGTAATAGTCTTTTCCTTGTTACTGTATTTGTTACCTGGAATATATAACATAAGTCAAAATCATGAATCAAACCTCCTGTGTTATTTTTGTCAGTAAATGCAATTTTATGAACTGCTTTGCTGTAACTTCCAATTTTTGTTTCTACATCATATATAAAAACTCAGATTTCACAGAGTTGGCTGGTTTGTGCTTGTAGTCCCAGCTGATTGGGAGGTTGAGGCAGGAAGATGGCTTAAGCCAGGAGTTCCAGGCCAGCCCGAGCAACAATTGCCAGATGCTCTCAAAACAAACAAACAAACAAACAAACAAAACCTCCACAACATTTTGGGATCACTTAGATCTAGGTATCTAGAATTTGTCTCCAGAGATGGCCATCATTTTGGCTCCACTTAACTCTTTGTTTTCATATTGACAAATACAGTAAAATACTACAGCCAAGTACCTTTCTTTTCAAATTTTTTATTCTTTAATTCTTTTTCCTAAGTGCTTTTAGAAGTAACACATCATCATTCCTAAAACCAAGGAAGCACAAAATCCCTATTTTTCTGCAATTCCCTAATATACGCTTTCTAAAAACACCTGTCCAGGGGATGATATATAATGAGAAGAAACTACTTTTCCTTAAATTCTCCACCTTTGCACTGCTGTGAGTATAAAGTTTGGTGGCAAACGAAAACGTTGAATTAGAAAGTGAAAGTTTACTTTTGTATGTATTTGTAAATTGGTAATACTGAAAAGAAGCAACAACAATAATGCAAGAAACTGTTGTAAATCTCCATTTTCTGTTCTTTATAGAAATAGAAAAAAACCAAAATAACCCCAACTGGACAGCCTACACGTATGCCTTACAAACTCAAGCTGACCGCCATGGCGGGACAGGCGGAGCGACAGATCCCAGCCCAGGAATAACCCTTTACGTTCTGCGCCGCGACAGGAAGTGACGTAAATCCCGCGACACCGTCCGCTGCAGCGAGAGCGGGGCTCTGTTGCTCCAGATACGATCAGCCTTCCCCGGATGATTGCAGCAGAGGGATCATGACTGGGAAGAAGTCTTCCCGGGAGAAGCGGCGCAAACGTAGCGGCCAGGAGGCGGCCGCTACGCTCGCCGCCCCGGACCTCGTCCCCGCTCTCGCAGGTAGCGGCAGTGGAAGCACCAGCGGCTGCGGGAGCGCTAGCGGCTGCGGGAGCGTCGGCTGCTGCGGGAACGCGAGCTTCAGCGGAAGTGTCACCGGCGCTGCGGAGCGGAGCGACCGCCGGAAGCGGAGGAGCACCGACTCGTCATCCAGCGTCTCGGGCTCCCTGCAGCAGGTGCTTGCGCTTCCCTGTCGTGGCGTCCCCTAGCTGCTGCTTTGCTGGTTCGGAAGCGGGCGGGCTGCAGAGCTGCCTGCTGGGGCGCCAGCTGGAGCTCATTGTTAGTGCAGCGATCCCGAGGGCCCCTTGTTCTTGCGATTCACATGCCTAAGTCTCTGTGGACCCTGCTTCTGTGTCTTAAGCTTTCCAGTTTCTGGGTTTACTGATAAGCTGACTTTCTACTTTTAGTTTTTTTTTAAACTTTTGGTGTCTTTCACTTGTGATCTCCCTCGGCTCTTTAAAAAGTTTTGAGTCAGGTCAATGACCTTGTGAGCCAGGCGCTTTACTTTTCTTCTTTTTGTAGATTCTGATTAACTCCACATTTGAGCTGAAAAACTTGAGGCCCAGAGTAAGGAGCTTTACCCACTATCTCAAGAGTTTGTTAATAGCGCTTAGACTTGACTCCAACACCTAATTACAAAAGCCGTGTTCTTCATGTGCCATCAATATGCTAAGATACTGCTATTTAAAAAGTTAGTTCATTGTAAAGAAAACTAATGTATGCTTAATAACTTCCAACACAAATGAAAGCGTAAGTGTGCGAGTCCTTCTTCATACCTCCACATTAATAGTTGGTACGAAGTCTCTTTTCATTCCTTGTTAGATATGTGTATGTGTGTTCCTACACATAATCTCTGTTGTGATATTTTCCCTACTGAATTGGATAATACCACTGCATGGGGATAGGTTTCTTTGTAAATGTGGTATGTCGGTTTTTTAGAGACTGCCGGTGTTCCTTATTTATTGATGAATATTTAGGTTTTCAGTTTTCTTGTTATTACACACAATACCAAATTGAATCCTTGTACATGCATCTTGTGGAAGAATTACATTAGGATAGAATGCTAGTGGTGATAATAAGCATTTTTTTTTTTTTTTTTTAGTGAGAACATTTCTTTTTCTTTTTTAGACGCTGGGTATTGAACCCAGGGCCTTGCATATGGTAGTCCTAGTGGGAACATTTCTAATGTATACTTACAGATTTTGAAAGATAACTTTGGTGGTTAGGAAAATTTTCTTCAACTCCTGTTTCATCGGGATTTTAGTTTTATCAGATGACTTCCTGGCGTTCTGCTTGGGTGACCACAGTTTTTCTCCTTTAATTAGATAATAATAATTTTACTGATTAATTGATGTTGAACTGTCCTTGCGATCTTGGAATAAGTCGTATTTGGTGTGTTGGGTTTCCTTCTTGTATGAAGCTGGAATTACTTTTGTGTAAATGTTCGTGAGTTTGATCAGCCTATAGTTTTTATTTTTGTTATGAATTGAGTTGGGAAACCCTTTTTGAAGTGTTATGAAATAGTTTATAATATTTTCCTAATATATGTGTTAACTTAATCATTGAACCATGTAGCTAAATGGGTAGAATTTTTGTAGGGTTAGCTTATTTTTAAAAACTCTTTTTAAAGAAATTCTTCAATAGTTACAGCTCTATTAAGTTTTCTGTCCTGAGAGATTCAATTTTGGATATCACTCTTTTTTTTCTTCTTCACTCTGGGATCTAACCCAAGACCTCACACATGCTAGGAAAGCATTCTGCCACCGAGCTATATCCCTAACCTCTGGATATCACTATTTTTAAGTAATTTCCCTGTCTCTAATACTTTTGTGTGTGTGAGTGTGTGTGCAAGCATGCTAGGCAAACACTTAACTACTGAGCTACCTTCCCAACCCTGGTACTGAGGTTTGAACTAGGCTTCCCACATGCTAGACAGGTGCTCTACCACTTGGGCCACACCTCCAGCCCTTCTCTAGTACTCTTTATCATGATGGTGAAATATTACATACATTGGCTTACAGAACTAAATCCAGCTTCTAATAAGAAACAAGTGTATTCATGGAGAAGAAAAAGTCACCACATATTAGGCATGTAGCATCACAAAATTCGGAGAGGCCCTTATATCTGTTGTGTATTGAGGTCTTTTTGTTTCTGTTTGGGGCAGGGTCTCAATGTAGCTCAGGTTGGTCTCAAATTTGGATCCTCCTGTCTCAGCCTCCCGAATACTGGGTGGTGTGTACCATCATGCTGAGCACTTTTTAATTTTTGGTAAGAGTTTTATTGAAATATAATTGACAAATATTATTACAAGTACCCTATTCAAGTGTGCAGTTCAGTAGTCTTGGGTATTTTTCACAGTTGTGCAATCAACAATTTAGTCAATTTAAAAATATTCTCATTACTCTAAAAAATAACCTTATGTCTACCTTTTAACTATCATCCCCAGTAACTCTACTCTGCTCTATCCCTTCAACCACTAATTTACTTCCTGTCTCTATAAATTTGTAGATTTCCCTGTTCTAGACATTAAATTTGAATGAAATCAATTTAGCTTGAATGGAATCAAATGTGGTACTTTGTGTCTGGCTTTTTCACTTAGCATAATGTTTTCAGGCTTCATCCATGTTGTCACACATTAGTTCATTCCTTTGAAACACAAAGGCTTATTCCTTTTTATGACTGTAATACTTCATTGTATGGTTTTACCGCATTTTGTTTTTTCCACTTATCAGTTAGTGACATTTGAGTTTCCACCTTCTGGCTGTTAGAAATAATGCTGCCATGAACACTCTTGTAAAAGCTTTTATGTGGAGGTATGATAACATTTTTCTTGGGTATGTGTCTGGCAATGGAATTGCTAGGTCAGATAGTGACTCTGAGGCACTGTTAACTGTTTTCCTCCATAGCCGTTGCACCCTTTTACATTCCTGATATCACTGTTCCCGTTTCTCTATGTCATTACATTCTGAGCCATTAAAACAAGAGTTGATCTGACTTACTTTTCAGTCTTAGTATTTTTAAGAGTTTCCCCATTTTTAAATAATTACATTAGAAGACATAACAAAGAAACCTTCCTAACCTGTATGGTCAGGGAAGATTTTCTGAAGAAAACAACTTTATAATTCATATCTGATAAGTATCTGAATTTGTTAATCTTGTGAACATAGTACAATGTTAGAGAAGGGGGAGGGAAAGCAGAAGAATATTATGTACAAAAGCCATGCCTTTATGAGCTAAGGGAAGAAGAACAGGTTCTATTTGAGAAATTCAAAGGAGTTCATTGTGTCCAGAATCCAAGTGGGCCAAATTACCCCTTGAGCGATGTGAAGTCATTGAAGGGTTTTAAACAAGAATGATTATATACCCATTTTATAAAATTCATTCTGTTAGCAGTATACAAAACAAAGGCTTTATATTAGGTGTAGGAAGTGCAGACAAATATTCCTGTAATCTAGGAAAGATCATACTTTTTTGGACCAGGGTTATGTTGGTAGGTATGGAGAAATTGGATAGATTTGGAAGATAGAAGATAAAAATTCTCAGAAATGTCTTAAATTACTGAAATAATTTGCTTCCTTTGAATATGATTAAATTATACAAGAGATTAAAATGATAGCTCATGGTAAGCATATCACTTCATAATATTTGTGATTTGTAACATTTTTGCTGCTGTTCTGTTTCTTTATATGAATTTAGTAGAGAGACAGTACACACATAAACTTTGAGGTAAGTGGCCAATTGAAGGACTGTCCTAATTCTTTAAAAGTCTAAAATTGTAGCAAATATTCAATTTTGTGTGTATTTTCATCCGTATGTCCTAAAATATTATCTCTTTGCTAGCTACTCCTTGAGTTAATTACAGTGTGGAGAGCAAAGGTAAGGAATGATGAGCAATTAAATATTCTTTCCTATGGTTTTAGATAAATAATTATGCAAAAAAGAATTTAGAAATGTTTAATTAAGAATAATTTATTAAGTGGAAATGTATGATTCATATGCCTATGCTTTATATTTTAAATAGTATTATTTAATAGTTCTTTATTCCTTTAATTTTAGGAAACCAAATATCTTTTACCAACGTTGGAAAAAGAATTATTGTTGGCAGAGCACAGTGACCTTGAAGAAGGTGGACTGGATCTGACGGTGTCATTAAAACCAGTTAGTTTCTACATATCAGACAAAAAAGAAATGCTTCAGCAGTGCTTCTGTATCATAGGAGAGAAGAAGTTACAGAAGATGCTTCCTGATGTGTTAAAGGTACTTTATTACATTATTAGACTGTATACATGTGTAGAAATACAAGCTTTTTTGTAGCAATCATTTTATTGAATGGAGTTAATTGGATATTCTAATTTAAAATAAGCATTTTGAGAAGAAATAACAAAGGGAATTTGGAGAAGTATAAGTGGCCTTATATATTTAAAAAATTACAAAAAAATGCATAGGCAAGAAATTTATTGAACCTGTAGAAGCAATTCTAAATTCAAGAAGTGATAGTAGTTAAATTGGAAGTGTAATGAATCTTCCCTGGTGTTTTAAGAAACAATGTATGACTATGTAACAGTACACAATGATAGTTTGTAATAGCTTATGCTTCATTAAATTTATAGCTGTTTGCATGCATTTCTGAAAATTAAGGGAAATATATGTTATTTTAATTTTATACTTGCAGAAATAGGCCTTGCACAAGTTAAGCCTAAGATCAAATATCCATGACATATGGAGGCAGGTCGTGAATATTTAAACCTTTAGAAGATTTAAGGATATCTGGTAAACTGAGTTACTCTTTAGTTTGTTCTTTCATAATAAAACATGACTTTATGTATTCCCATCAGATCTCTAAAGTATTCATTTTAACAGGCAGTTTTTCAGATTTCATCCCATAAAAACATTTATATCAGTGTATTTCAGCTTTAATTTGTTTTATTATAAGACTTATCTAACTGGAATTTTTCTTATGCTTGCAGTTTTCCAGTTTACATTGGAACTATAGTACATAAATGAAATTTTGTTAAAATGTCATTTCCTTTAGAATTGTTCAATAGAAGAAATTAAAAAACTGTGCCAGGAACAGTTAGAACTCCTGTCTGAAAAAAAAATCCTGAAGATTCTTGAGGGTAAGAGTGAATATTTCTACATTCTGCTAACTTATTAGCTAAACTGTATTAGCATAAATTTTGAGGTATTCTTTCTCTTCCTTGGATGTTACTGTAATTTCATGATTGGGTAGTCATTGAGGAGTATTTTCTATTTGTATTGAGAAATACGATTTACATATAAGAATAGAATTTTAAGAATAGATTTGATGTATAGTTTTTCTAAACCAATATATAGGTTTAGAGCACAGGTTTTTACATCATAATAAAGCAAAATAAAAAATGTTTACTAAAAATACTGTAAAAGATTACTGAAAAGGCAAAGATTTTCCTTAAAATAAATTTTAAAATGTTTTGCTTTATATTCTCTTTATAGCTTATAATTACCCATTACATGTTATTTCTGCTCTAATAAGGCCCTGATGTAGTTAGAAGAATTCTTGGAATTTGCCAACATTTATGTGTCTGTCTGAAATACGACTAGTCTTTGTGATACCGATACTTTTAGAATTTTAGATTTTTTTGGCAATTTTTTTCTTTTGGAACTCTGCAAAGGATTTTTAATATTTGCATTACCTAAGAAACAAAATTAGACACTTTCAGTTTCCAGAGAAAATGACTTTTTAAAATGTTAAATGGATTTTGTAACTCTGGAAATAATTGTAGTCTCTAAGTATTTATACACATACTCTTGTATGTGTGTACTAGATAAAGTCAAGGCAGTGAGAAAAAAGGCATTAAAAAACTACATAAGAATGTAGTCTCAAAGTATATATACATACATATCTACATGTAGTAGATAAAGGCAAGGCAGTGAGAAAAATCTCATTATTGCCGGGCCCCTGTGGCTAACACTTACAATCCTAGTGTGAGATTGGGAGGATCAGTGTTCGAGGCCAGCCTGGGCAAATAGTTTGTGAGACCCCCCATCTTCAAAATAACTGGAGCAAAACAGACTGGAGGTGTGGCTCAAGTGGTAGAACACCTGCTTTGCAAGCATGAAGTACTGAGTTCAAATCCCAATCCCATAAAAAAAACCCCACATTATTTTAAATATAAGTAATTGAAAAATGTAATCTTGCAACAACTATAAACCTTTTTTTTAAACATGTATCACTTTTAAAGATGACACTTTTAGTAATGTTTAATTCATTTTGACATTTTATACACATTTTCAATAGTTTATTTCATTTATAAGGTGACAACGGTATGGACTCTGATATGGAAGAGGAGGCAGATGATGGCTCTAAGATGGGATCTGATTTAGTCAGTCAGTAAGTTAAAACACTTTCATTTTCATTTCAGAATTTCTTTGTTATCCATTGAAGGTTTCTTATATCAAGGATATGATTTTCTGTTTTATTTATATAAAATAACCAAGTGTAATTGTTTACTTGTAACAGTTGGTTCTTTTGGCATATATGAGAATTAACTCTATACATAGAGTTAAATATGTTATTAACTTAGTGTTAATAATAAGTTGACCTACTGTACATAGCTATAGAACAACAGTGATGCCAACCTGAAGCAGAATCACATCTCTCCTTTGGATTTTGAACATAATGATGATACCCACTGTTTACTATCTACTCTACTGGATATTATGTTGGTAGCTGAGAACTCTTCATCTCATGAATTCTTCTTCATGTCCTTTGATGTTAGGTGATAGAAATATTCTCATTTCACTGATAAGCTGGTATTTGTGTGTGTGTGTGTATAATATATGTTTTATATATATGTAAAATATATGTTATATATATATATAAAATACACTTTTCCTGCATATGTTTAACATATATGGGTATAAAGACATACATTTATATATACGTGTGTGTGTATATAATTTGACTATTACAGTGATTAAAAGTGCATGAGGTTTTAAGAACATGACTAATCAGTAAGCAACATGCTAATTATTTTTCTCAGATTATTCTGTTTTATCAGTGTGTATCAAGACCATCATTAATTTTGGCATGTGTTGATCATTCTTGCCTAAACAATTAATATTTTGGCAGATGCCCATATTGACTTGCTTCTCTGTTTGCAAAGCATGGCATTTTTCCTGAAGAATTAAGATTTTGGGTACAGCCAGTATTACAAATAAAGATTACCAGAGGGCAGTAGTACATATTTAAGCTGAAATCTAGGATAAAAAAAATTCTAATAGAATACTGTTAGGTAAGTATCATTAAGAACGACAATTTCATGTTAAAACTTAGAGAGCAATGACTTACCTACGTAAAGTATTGAAAAGGGATCACTACATTGCTTGTCTGTCTCATAATCAGGAAATTTTTGTGATCACATACATCTTGCTTTAGGAGTATCCCAGGGTGGTTTATACTTAACTGTAAAGTAGAGCGTGTACACATTTTTAATAAGCTTTACCATTGGCTTTCCTTTTAAGTCCTTTTTATTGTATACTCATGTACACCAGCTAGCTTAAGCATTTGTAAGGCTTGTTGCTTTAAAAGTTTTTATGTTTTTCTTCTTTATCTTTTACAGTGCTGGGGATTGAACCGTGGGGTTTACACATGGTAGGCAATTGGCTGTACCAATGAACTACATCCTCAGCAATAAGTTTCCTAATCTTTTTGTTTCTTTATTCTACTTGTAGAATCCTCAATTGAAGTTTTACTTCATTACATTTGTTTCCCTTTATAATTTTTCTTTCAGTTTAAGTGATATTAAGATTTAATGCCTTATTTTTTTCACATCTTGGCATTAGGGTTGCCTTTTCTACTGTTAGAAGCCATTTAATGAATGCCAATTAGAATAGAAATTTAATTTTTAAAAAAATTAACAGCAGGATTGGGAAGTTAGCTCAATGGCAGAGCACTTGCTTAGCATGAACAAGGCCCTGGATTTGATTCCCAGTACTGTAAAAAAAAAAAATTACAACAAAATAGTGTTTGACTTCTCAGTTATTGTAATGAAAAAAAAATAGGGAATAGATTCAAAGCCACTGTTTCAAAATACTCACTTATACAATGTGGTTGTCAGATCACATTAACTTTTTTTGTTGTTGCTATTGTGCTGGGTGGGGGTACACTGTGGCATTTACAAAGTTTCTTACAATATATCAAATGTCATACTTCAATTCACTTCCTCCACTATTCTTCTTTATCCCCCCCACCCATAATTTGTTTTTGTTGTTGGGGGAGGGGTGGTACTAGGGTTTGAGCTCTGGACCTTGTGCTTGCTAGGTAGGCACTAGTTGCCACTTGAGCCACTGCCTCAGCCCTCTTTTGCTTTTAGTTATTTTTTCAGGTACCATCTCTTTCTCACATTTTAGCCCAAGGCCAGCCTTAGACTTCAGTCTTCCTACCTATGGCCCATAGTGTAGCTGGGATTATAGGTAAATGTCACCAGGCCTAGCTATTTACTGATTGAAATGGGGTTTGCCTAGGCTGGCCTTGAACTGTTGTCCTCCCAATCTGTGCCTCCTTAGTAGCTGGAATTACAGGTGTGAGTCACCAGGCCAGCCTCACATTAACTTTTTTCATTCTCTGGTGAGTAGGTTGAACAATCAGATAGGCAGGCTGAGCATGGCCAGTCTGACAATCTAAAATCCATAGTCCAAACTTTTGAGCGTCATGTGGAGCATTCAAAAAGTTTTGAGCTTTAGATTTTGGATTTTCGGATTAGGGATATTCAGTTGGTAAACTCGATATGAATATTACCAAATATGAAAAACTTGGAAACTTGAAACACTTTTGGTCCCAAGAAGTTTGGATAAGGGATACTTAACCTGTATTAACACAAATTGTCATAATACCCACTTATGGAGCTGATAAGTGCTGGATCATTGAGATTCTTTTGAATTACCTGACAATACAAGGTTATTACTTTATTTTATTGTATTTTTCATTTCGTTTCTTTCATATATGCTAATTCTTACAATTTTTACATCCATAAATATATATTCAGCAATGTATCAAGTGAGTAATTATACTGTAACCAAGCAGGAACTACTTGAGGAATTTTACAAGGAGACTTAATTACAAAATTTATTAGCATAATTCATATCAATAGAAGAATTACATGATCATATAAGTAGATGCTAAAAAGACCTTTGATAGTACTCAGCTATCATTTTTTACTATATCTAAGGTATACAACCTGATGCTTTGATAGACATAGTAAAATGACTGCTACAGTGAAGCAAATTAACCTGTCCATTAGTGCACATAGCTGCTTTTTCTGTTAGGTATGATAAAGGCACCTAAAATATATTTTAGCAAATTTCCTTTATGCAGTACAGTATTATTAACTGTAATCCTCATGCTATACATTAGAACTCTAGACTTACTCATCCTAAATAACTTCAGCATTGTGTCATTTAACTTACATCTGCCTATTTTCCCTACACTGTTCCCCTTATAACACTTACTCTGTATCAATGAATTTTACATTTTTTATTCCAGGTATAGTTGAGATCTTGAGATTACATATTATTCTCCTCCTCCTCCTCATGTCCCCCGTTCTTACTCCTCCCTCCCTTCCTCCCCCCTCGTAGATACCTCTGTGAGGTGCTGATTTCATTTTCTTTGGGGTTATATACCCAGAAGTGAGATTGCTAAGTTATCTGATGGTTCTGGTTATCTGGTAGTTCTGTGTATAATTTTGTTGAGGAACTGCAATACTGTTTTCCATAATGGCTGTACTAATTTACATTCCTACAACATCATATAGGAGGTTCCTTTTTTCTCCACATCCATTTCTATTTCTTGTTTTTCAAATAATAGTCACACCAGAAGGTGTTAGATATACCTTATTGTGGTTTGGATTTACATTTCCCTGATAACTAGTGATGTTTAGCACCTTTTCATATACCTGTTGGCCATTTATATGTCGTCTTTGGGAAGATGTCTGTTTAGGTCCTTTACTCCCTTTTAATTGGGTTATTATTACTTTTTTTTTTTTTTTTTGCTATTTTGTTGTGTGAGTTCCTCATATATTTTAGATATTAACCCTTTGTCTTATGTATGGTTTGCAAATATTTTCCAACCTGTATGCTGCCTTTTTATTTTTCTGATTATTTCCTTTTCTTAGCAGAAACTTTTTAGTTTTGCTAGTTTTTTAATTTTTGTTTTGTTTTGTTTTGGGTACTGGGGTTTGAACTCAGGGCCTATGCCTTGACCCACTCCACCAGCCCTTTTTTGTGATGGGTTTTTTGAGATAGGGTCTCATGAACTATTTGCCTGTGCTGGCTTTGAACCTCGATCTTCCTGATCTTTGCCTTCTGGGGAGCTAGGATTATAGGTGCGAGCCACTGGCACCCGGCTAGTTTCATTTAGTTTTTGAATAGTCATTTCTAATTAAGTTGTAGGGGGAAATGATAAAGGCCATGTGTCTAAAACTTAACTACCCACATGGTGAAATTGAAAAACTAGACAGGAAGGCTGTTATGCCTATTAACTTTCAACAACAGTTTCTTAGATGTTCTAGCAAATGTAGTCAGGATAATATGATAAACTGTAGAAAAGAAGAAGTAAAAGTATCTTTTTTCTAATGTAGGAGATTATAAACCTAGAATACCTGAGAGATTATTGCTTTAAAAAAAAAACAAAACCAAACAAATCAGAATTCAGGCATGATGGCTGCATTCCTGTAATCCTGTAATGGTTGAGATAGGAGGGTTGCAAGTTAGAGACCAGCCTGAGCTACATGGCAAGACCCTTTTTCAAAAAACAAAAACCAAGCCAGGTGTCCAGGACTCACATCTGTAATCCTAACTACTTTGGGGTGGGAGTGGGGGGGCTGAGGTTGGGAGGATGTGGTTTGAGGCCAGACCAGGCAAATAGTTTTCAAGACCCCCTATCTCAACCAGTAGCTGGGTGCCATGGCATGCTCCTGTCAACCCAAGCTATGTCACAGCTGAGAGTAGGAGCATTGCAGTCCAGGCCTGCCTGGGCAAAAAGCAAGACTGTATTTCAAGAAAAAAACCAAAAAAACAAAAAAACCCAAAAAACAAAAAAAATGAGCAGAAAGGGCTGGACATGTGGCTTAAGTGATAGAACACCTAGAAAGAGTGAAGCCCTGAGTTTAAAACTCAGTACTATACTCAATGCCCCCAAAAAAGCCAAAGCAAAAGATTAGAATTTGATATGGGTTATGTGTAAGATGTGTTTCTATCTTTTAGCAGAAACACTTAGGAAATTAGAAACAAATTCTATATTTATAGCAACTGTAAAAACTATTACATATTTTCAGATGCATTTGAAAGAGGCATAGAAAGAATACCATATCTCTTATACCTTAGTAGAAGTCA